GTATGCTCAATGTACCCCATAGGTGGGGCAAGTTGAGCACGAAGAAAGTATAATGAAATCATAGGTTCAATGTCGATTACTGATGATATAAATTAAGTTTTTAATAACCAGTTCTATATTTATAGTCTTTATTGACAGAGAAAACAAAACTTATAGTAATATGCTTTGAATAATTAACCAAAAGCAAAAACAACAAAACAATATCGTATCTTAGGAATTATTTTACCATTATATTCAGTATTTTTGTTTAAAATAATTATTTCTTTATATTATTACTCATAGACTTAGATTAAATCTTAAAAATAATAACTAATTTCTGAAAGTTAATGGTAATTGTCTTAATGACAAGTTTAGCAACTATGCTCAACTAACCCCAACTTGGAATTCTAAAATAAAATTGAGTTTATAAAAAAACCGCGAGAATTATACCCAGAATCTCTGTGCATATTAAAAGTACTATAATCATATGGAAAAATAACATTTACCTGATTAAAAATAAATAACATTTGACTAAACCAGACGAAAATTCGTGATGAATGACTTTTTTACTTTTTGGTCTCAAAATAAACAAAACGGCCGTGAGCCTCACTCATTTGTCCAGCGGCCACTAGCGATCGCGGGATGTTTATTTCTCCCAAACCTCTATCTTTCCGCCATATAATGCCTAAACGGACGGTGAATAGTTTTCGAGATATTTCAATTGCCCAACTTGCCCCTATGCTCAACTAGCCCCGCACTACCCTACATATCATACAAAGATAGTGTTTAATGAATAGTTATGAAAACAGAGGATAAAAAATGTATTTATATATTATGAAGATTAATCAATTATTGATGCCAATATTGAAACAGGTTTATGAGTGAATCACTCGCACAATGGTTGTAACAAAAAGTGTGCTTTCCGCAACAATGAGCTTAATAAGAGCAAAACGCGAATAAAATAAGTAAACAATAAGTTTCTCACGAAGACATGCTCACAATCGGCAATCCATTTGAGAAGGCGACACCCACGTCGGACGCGGCAGTGGCGAACAACGGCCGGAGCAGTCGCGATATCTCTCTAATAGCGGTCCCGATACTCAATTACGCGCCCGTTTTTATTTTTCCGAAGGCATTAATTTATTTTATGACGCGCATTGAAGAAGAGCGCAAAGACGATACAAAACGCTCTCGAAAGCGAAAGATGGGCCCAAAGAGGACAAGGGAAAACAAGTCAGCGCGAGAGCAACCTGTCCGGGTGGTCTCCCTGCCAGGTAATAACGGCACGCACGCCGCAAGGTTACCGCCCCCTGCTCCGGTCCGACGGACGTAATCGTATCATTACGCACACCTAACATGATCATTTTCGAACATTAGCCGCCGCTGAAATTGATATTTCAGAGATAATGTTTTAATAGGAACGCGCAGCTCCGAACAGCACTCTCAGCTTTATTTGCTCGCATATACCCACCGGACAATGCGCGGTTCGTGTGTGCACGCTCCGAATGTGTACATAAAGAAGATATTAAGTTATGTGCACATATTATTGGCATAATAATCTTGATGTATCAATTGTGAAAGCTGCGGTTACCGAAGGCACTGCTGGCCGCTCTCTGGCAGCGGGCCGAACGTTTCTGACATCTTCAGAGAGCAAATATTAAAAGGCATCGCTTTGACTTTTAAAATCAAAGTGATTCCAGATAAAATGTGTGATTGCCTGATTGTATCGCATGAGAAGAGATCATTTGGTCGCAATTGTAATATCACAAATTAGAATTTCTATGGAATTGTTAAACACAAGAGAATGGTTTTTGATATTTATTTAGTAGACCATGGTAAAGAGAATTCGACATTTGGTTATACAAATATAGAAATCATTGATTAATTCGCTGTTCGCTTAGCCTTCACGATGATAAGATATCCAGTTAAATATTGCAGTCATTTTCCTCGTATAATGTTATGACTGCTTATATGAATATGAGAATAAATTCATTTTCATTATTTTATCTATTAGCTATTGATAAAAAAGTACATCATCGATCTAATACTTTCATTATGTATGCATATAGAACTTCAGAACTATCTAAATCAGCACAGAAGCTTATAGAAAAAAATATAACGTTCTGATTGCTATTTAAATATTGTTAATTGAGAGTTTATAATTGCTTTTAGCCTACCAAAACAAAAACTCTATTCACTTTATTTGCTTAAGGGTTACTGATGTATTATTTTTACGAATAGTAATAAATAACATATCATTCTACCGTTCTCAACTGATGTGAAATCCGTTGCTTCTAAAATAACAAATGTAAACTTTCAAGCCCTAAATTCTCCTCATATTACGCAATGCACCGCTACGTGAATAGAAAAAAATTGCACTGATAAAGGTCAAACATACCAACGTGTTCACGTCTAATATAAGATATTAATTAGATCACAAAGTCACCGGTCGAACGGAAATATTCTATTGGAATACGGCCTGCCGTAAATAACGTATTATTTATGCATATGTAAACCGAGGTCAGGAAGTAAGACTTGATATAACAGTATCTCAGAGGCAAGTTGATATTGCCAGGGCACATGATATTATTGATTGATAATTTATTTCAATATTGGTATACACAAACGCACATAAGCACACATAAACCTAATTACATATCTTATACACTATGACTTTTATACCAAAGAAAAGGGTATGGATTAACTTCAAGTTGGGAAGTGATAGAAATCACGAAACAATGAAAATTTTCATACATTTTTACGTTTTGTGATGTTCTGAATAGCTAGTAAGAAATATGCAGTTTGATATTTGAATGCATGTATGCAAGGGTATTCAGATACATTTTTATTCATGATTTGAGAAAATATAGTTAATAATACTACAAAATATTTCACTCATTATAATAGTAGCTTGTTGAAAAAATAGCTATAAAATCTAGCATGAGCTATTCCTTAGTTTGCTTTAAGGGCGCAAAGATTAATTTACATTTTATAGGATGTTCATTTATTAGAATTCAAATATTGGATAAGAATATATGCAACCAATATAAGTTTGATAAAAATATAAAACTCATATCAAGAACCGCTTAAGTCTTTAACTTTAATAAAAAATCTTTGCCATGAATTTCCGATACAAGCTATTAAATGCACTTTTTTTCCTTTATTAGGTGGAATGTATAATAAATTCATTCTATTTCAATTAAATTCTCCAATATTTCAAGATTTATTATATTACCAACATAGCGATCCATTGGTTTTACAAATGGATGGCTATAAATTTAACACACAAAGCTTTCCCTGATACTCATACTTCAAAAGCTGACTTTCGCTTTCGTGCAGATTTCAAACAAACGAATTTATAGGTTTTATATATTATTTTCAAATTGATAAAATATTATTTTGCAAAATTTTCAAAGTAAAAGTAACCAATAAGTAATTCGAATTTAATAAACATAAGTTTTATTTTGTGACATCCAACGTTATATTTGCAAATAGGTGTGCAATCTGTATATAGACAGGCAAGAGGTAATCACTATTATTTGTATAAAGCAATGTTAATAATATAATTATCATGTACTAGGATCTTAAACGTTATTGAGCGTAATGTGTTGAGTTTGATTACAGGATAATGTATATGATTAAATTTTGATTGGAAACCTGCCACTTAATGAGAGCAAGTGTTATATAATCCTATAAATACATAGAATTATGTATATATGTATATATATATATATATATATATATATATACATACATGAAAATGTTTCTGTGTGTATTAATAAATATGATATGCTCCTTCTTAGCAAGCAAGTTGTGCAACATAAGAAAATGGATATCGCGTGTTGTACACGCGTCACAATAAATCTGATATAACTATCAAATAGCAATACAAAAGATTATCATCAAAGATAGTAAAAGTAAATGTTTCATATAATAAATCTCCAGTTAACAAAACTTAACAAAACTAACTGGTATCAAACATAAGTTCTAATAGTTTATATCGTGATATTATAGATAAAACACTGAAGAGCTTTAACAATACTGAAGAATACTCTTAGGTAAATCTAGAGAATTGATCCTCTATCTAAAAGAATAATTAACAAAGTTGAAAAATGTATCTTTTTAGAGAAAGTCGTACGAGCTCAAAATTGTATACCAAATCACAAGTATAATTTGGATGTTTTATGGCTAGTTAAAGATTTGTAGACGCATTAATAGGAAACAAGATAAAAGGATTTTTCCGCAAAAACTAAATCCATATTTGGAAATATGAATTTAAGTTTAAACTACCATAGGAGTGCATTATAATTGGATCAAATTATAAAAAGTAAGTAATTTGCAATTCTTTTACATTTATTTTAATTTTTCATGTAAGTATTTAATATAAATTCATTATATCTTATTTAATATAACCTTCATGTATCAGCATCAATAGTTTTCAATTGAAAAAGAGAGACAACATTGAAGCAAATGCAAGAATAGATAGGCATTTCGACATGACTTGAAATTTAATGAAGAATACAAAAGGAGATATTCGCAAACCCAGCACACCGTGCGAGCAACATAATTATAAACGGATAAATTAGTATGAAATTGTATGGATTTGTCACGCATTCGCGAAGGGCCATAGGGCACATCGGTTCGCACAAAAGCGGACTCGACAAAACAAACTTGACACAAAGCGAATAAATGTTTAAATAATTGTTAATATCGGTATGCATATCGTTTTATTTCAATAATAGCCAGGAAGCGTATTCATTTTACTATCGGTAATTGCAATAACTATCGAAAATTAATAATTAACTTGAACGAACAATATGCGCACAAGATGGAATATTAATCAAGGTACCGTTGGCATAACACATTATGCATTAACATTGTGTGCAATACATGTATGTGATTTTAATTTATCAAAGTTATTAGAAATTGTAAATTGATTTTTCCTAGGTTTGATATCAAAAGTTGAACAAATGGATAATTCAATATCATTAATATTTTTGATGATATAGTTTGTGCATCACTTAAGTAAATAACTTAACACAATCATTTTGTATTTTCTTGTTGGGTATCAAGTACCTAAAATAAATAAAATACACAATGTTATTTACTTTATTATTACATGAATTAATGTTTATTATTCTATATGTACACATATGAGCATTTACCTACATATTAAATCACATATATAATCATTAATCTGCCGTGAATTCTTATTTTATTAACACGCAAGTTTCTATCACACGGATAATTAAAATAAATAAGTTAGTCGATTCACAAATACACGTCTGACGTCTCAGAACTAATTACCACTTACTAATATCATTTTCACAAAACTGGTTATTTGGAGATGCCTTCGTTAAACTCACATACATTGTATCCCATGCACATTTACAAGAAGCTTTAATGGACATTTTATTCCAATCAATATGCATTAATTAGGTAGGAAATTATTTTTAATATTCGTTTCTGAGCATTCTCATTTCCATTGTTATTAATCAAATCATAAATTTTACTTGAGTTCTACTCGGTTTCATTTTCAATCAGTGAAATACGTAAGACAGCGATGGCAATTTTTCCATCCATTGCAATTATCACGTGGATGATTATCGATTTTTTCGCATTTGTACCAGAACGGGTTTTTGGAACAACGCACATAAAATGTTGTAAACATAATTTGGCACATAAAAGTGAAGTTGATAATACGTGTTCATAAAAATACATCAAATAAGATTTAAAATTAATCTTCGATAATATATTAATAAAAGCATCAAAGTTCAATTAGTTATTTCATAACATGGGTATGGTTATTTCAACTCAAATTAGAAGTTAACTGCATACTTCGAGACTACCAAATTCTCCATTTCCGATGATCACAAATGCCTAAATAAAATAACAACATTTCACCTGTCAACCTCTCTTCGTCACGTTATCTTTCAATGGGTAATACTATTTCTTGCAAATAAAAATACTATAAATTTACCAAAATTAGTAATTTTATCATCTTATTACCGGCAAGTATAAACTTCTCGTTTCCGTTGACAGAGTTCACAAGTGACTTCACAACACCAATGAAATTCGCATCTGCAATTCACGTTTTCGCGAATTATTTTTTTATCATAACCTCGCCTACAGCAGAGCAAATCACACCCGTCCATTCCTGGAGAAGTTGCATTGCACGTTCTGCCCTTAGTTCCAAGAGAACCAGTTCGCCTATCTGCCGTGCAGAAATCAGGACTTTCTTCAGTATAGACTAGGTCCGATCGCGAAGGAATTTTAATAGTTGGCCCTGCAATAGTATGTGATATAAAAATATAGGCAATATATCCCTGTTTAATGAACCTAATAGAAAATAGATATTTCTGCAAATAAATTTCAAGATTGGTTTAGCATCAAGATAGCAATATAGTTTCTTTGATTGATAGATTGTTTAATACAATAAAGAAGTTCCACCAAGCTGTTGACCAAACATTTTCCGAAAGAAGCTATAACAAAAACACATACACCCGCAATATTACTTAAGTTATAAAATATTAAAGCCATAAATTACATACTTACAGATATTACACACGTTGAAAATCTGGTATGCTTGTATGTAAGGAGTCTCATTTCATAACACAATAAAGCAGTAAATAAAACCTACATGAAGCTTATAAATTATTGTCACCTTCTGGCATAAAAGAATTTCCATCGTTTCCCGCAATCACCTTAGCTGCTCCATCGAATCTCTCTTTAAGTATATTTCCCACGTCCCGAAATGGAGGCATTTTCATCCAACAAGTCTTGAGCGTACAGGAACCACTTAACCCGTGGCATTTGCACTCTAAACGCATGTGGTCTTTTATGGCCTGTAATAGAATTTTTTCCATAATCAATAGAAGCAGAAAACTCAAAATATCTAATATCAGATTTATAACTTACTAATCTACCGGCGTCATTATTGTGCAATCGCACAAGTGTCTTTATATCCCCATGCCTGCCTGAGGGTCTCGCATCCATAAAATCACGAGATTTTCTATAGCCAAAATGTACATTATCTCCACAACCACCCCATTCCCAATCTCCATCAGGCATTGGCATGGCTTGTTTTCTTCCTCGTTTAAACCCTTTACCCTTACCTTTACCACGATGATTCTTCTTACTCTGTAAAAGATGCTTTAAAATTATTAGTGCAATGTTTATATTTAAAAATTACTCATCATTATTTACCATAGTTCCCATTTGCGGATGTCTCCTACTTAATTTTTTGTCACAAGAGCAATCAACAAGTTCACCAGCAGTGCAGGCTCTGGTTACAGCATACGTCACTCCAGCAGCAGTAATTGCATTGACAAATCCTGTCTCTCTTGTATCTATTATTAAAATAGTCATAACATAATTGCATATAAGTAATAATGTCAATAAATTGTTTACTTTAATATATTATTGTATATTATTATATTAAATGCTATTGTATTCTTGGAATAATCGAGAAAACGACGCCATATAACAAAGATAACCAATTAAATTTTATTTCAAATATTGTAGTTGATAATTTTATAAGTATCTTAAAACTTATAAAAATCATTGAACACAGCTTACTAATTACATTTCACAATTGTTGACGAAGCTTTAGTTTGGCCAAATGAATCTCATGTAGATGCGATGAGGATATGTATTTTCCGAAGGGCCGAGATGAGATGAATTTGCAAAGTAGAAACTCATCTGTATTTCGACCGCATGCACATTCAAAAACAATACATTATATTAAACTTACGATCGTGCTGGGAAATGCATTGTGCGACGACAAGAGAGCAACGAGCAACAATCTCCCAGGGATCTAACGGTAGGCCGCGATGACAGCCCGAACTGTCTCATTGTCAGCGAGATGGCTTGATATATAGGAGCCGAGCACGGAGTTTTGCGCACAAAACTATACCACTATATCACGATGAAGCTTCGGTATTAAAAAGAAAACCGAAGGTACAATTGTCCAATGGTACTTATTTCTGAGATTCTTTAACTTATTGTTAGCGATATATACACGATATATAATCTAGAAAATTTACAAACAAAATAATATTAAATTTTGTAAACTTTGTAATTTTTGTTACCCATAGGAAACAATATTAAATTTATATATTACGTTATAATAGTACTGAGTTTTCACAACGTTATTGAATTTTGAGCAAAATTGCGATTTACATATTATCCACTTTTCATCTCGACCTTTACTGAGATACCATTTAAGTTAAGTAAAATATATCTTTTTAATAACAATATATTTGATAAATTATTTATCAATGTATTTAGACGCTAATTACTGATACATTAAACCATTTATAACCACATAGAATAATAGTAAGTTTATCATTTCTCTTTGAGCTACAATCAGTTGTTACTAACAGAATAGTTGAAATCTATTCCATTTTTTGAATGTTACATTAATATAACTTTATATTTGCAATTTTCACTTGTGATTATATTTGAGATCTACAGCCTCTAATATCGATCTGTCAGTGGTTGGTATAGAAACTGGGGATACTTTGTGCTAGCCCACGTCCTTAACCGTTTATGCCACGGCGGGCTTTACAATGATTCACATTCTTTGACCAATGTTTAAAAGGATTATAAATATGTGCAAAGCGTAAGATATTAACTGCTGATTTTCTGTGGATTACGCACGTTTTCTTGCGTTGATTTTTATGTTGTTCTCTTGATAAGTATGTGAGAATGTTCAGCATCATTTCAACCTTGGGTATTGTTGTTATTATGAAATTCATTCGTACAGCCACCGATTTTTTTTCTCGTATTACATTTATCTTTCACTTTTTTCGTATTTTGTTTCAGTTAAGTTTGATTTTTTATCTGTTTAATTTTTATCCGAAAAGGGCAAGATTTTGAAAACAAATCATCGTTATGACTCAGCTAAATAATCTGAGCAAAAACTAATTGCCAACTACTAATGTTTAACTTACTAATAATAAACAAATTATTTACTGCAAAATAATAAACAAATTATTTACGTGTATACACGTAACAGTTACAATTAAAAGAAATTGAATAAAGAAACTTAACTCTTTAAAAGCAGCGCGGTCTACATATCATATTAGTATAAGGGGCAGACTAAATGCAATGCAAACATCTTTCTCCTTTTGGACCAAATCTCAAAATCAGTATACCTTAGCTGTTATGGCGACTGTCACTACCGTACCCCTACCCAACCGTACCGAGCCTCCTTACTACATATTACTGTTCAATTATGGTTGACCCAAAATAATTTTGAATAAATACGATCAATGTATCATCAATATCTTACATTAGCTCTTTAAACAATGAAAAGATCAAGTTTTATATCGATGCATGAGCAAATTGATAATTCGATACGTCATGAAATGCACAATGTCGAAAGATTCAACCACACATAAAAGCGATATAAAAAATCAAGACAGCAGTTCCACTTAGTTTATTGCCCGATCGGATTTTTATCTTGAAGCATTTATGCCTTATTTGCTTCCCACTGTTCGCTCTCTACACTTAAATTTCGATTTAAACACATACATATGTGACCGGGTCTACGTGTTCGACGTTTTCGAGATTCGCCACATATAAAGAACACCCACGTCCTTGCTTCTTTCTTGCCGAGCCGTAGCACGAACGGACTTTGTGAGAGCACATCTTAATTATGCCTATACGATTTCGAACAGTGCTCGCCAAATGCAGGTGCTAAACAATGTGCTCAAAATTTGGCAGTATTTAAAATTTGTATGAACACTGTATAAACAATTTGAAATTATATTAATATAGAGACAAAAATCAAGAATCTTTTTGAAGAGAACTTTACACTGAACTTTCTTTACTAAATCAAGTAATATTATATACTTATTAGATTATAGCATTAATCTAATCACTATTATAGAAGCATTGATATTTAACTTGACAAGGTAAATCCTAAGGTAACGTAAGGTAAAATAAGAATTAATAACTTATTTTAATTAAAGTGTTACAATAATAAAGATAATTACAAAAAATTAAAAGGCCTATTTTGTTCATTTATTTAATAAAGAAATCCTACACGATTAAAGTATTCGTTTATGCTTTTGGAAGACAAAACAATTTGAAGTATTTGAAATTCCTGTAGTTGTATCACGTGATTGTTTGTTAGTTGTATTTGTAACATGTGCTTTTTCCTGGTCTGGCTTGTATAATCTCATTTATCTAACTGTTGTATTATTAATTCTAGAACTTTTCCTTATATTGTAATTTTTTTTAGCTGAATGTGAAACACATCTAGTCTTGAAACGTACAAAAATTTTACGAATATTTCTTTATTCGACGCATTGGCTGTTTTATTCAATTCAATATGTTTCAATGTCGAACAAAAAATTCTCTTATATATATATAATATATATATATATATATATATATATATATATATATAATAACACTGCTAAATTATTTATCAATAAGCATTAATGCTATACAATATACACAAAGGCATCTAACAGTTTGTTAAGTTTACTTTTTTAGTTTTCGACGTTAGCCGCTCCAAATTAGATGTTATAGAAACATTTATAAAAATATATATCGCATCACATAATTTTTGATGCATTTAAAATTCCGTGCTTGGCAAATAAAAATATCATTTAGATTTCGTCTTCCTTTACATTTTATTAATACTTTTTACCCTTTGACGAATGTGTTGAGCGCGCCTGCTAACACCTTCTCTCCTGCCGAGGTAAGCTCAAGCGTGATTAATATGGCAAACTGTTCTGACAGCTTACAAATTTAATGACTAGTTTAAAAGACTATTATTTAATGATACCCGGCGCTTCGAACAAAATGAAAAATAGTGTTTTCGGTTCGGCAACACCTTTTTATGATCGAATATCGGTACATATTTTGAAAACCCAAAGCCGTCATAATTGGCGAGATTTCGAATAGAAACCCTGTATATTTTTAATGAACAAAGGTCGCAAAAGAAATACCCAAGTTATACGACTTTAATTAAATTTAAATAAGACGATTTAAAATCATGTGTATTAACTTAAGGTTTCCTTCCGATAAAAGGACTATCAAAATAAATTGTTTCCGTTAATGTGGAGATAATTATAATGAGGTTCATAATTAGTATGAAAGTGTATCAACATTTAGAGCAAATTAATTACTGTGCGTATCTTGCTTTTAATCTTGATGGTCTTTACTTACATAAAGTGATGATTTTTTATGGGATCCAATTATTATATTTGTGTAAGTATAAACCGTACATGCAAGGTAAGCGCAATAATATGTATGCCTGTATACATACATTTATATATATATATATATATATATATATATTATATTTTATTTTTATAATATATATATATATATATATATATATTATAAATAATATATAAATTTATTTTTGCATCTTGTTAAAATTGATATGACATTAACTACAAAATTAAATTAAATTTATACATATATATATATATATATATATATATGTATAAATATATTATAATTCTAATATTTGTGACTTTAAATAATTATTAAGATCTCATTTTAGATTTCAACTCGATTTTAAAAATTTTGATCAATTCTTTGTTAGAAATATGAATTAATTGGGAATAAGATAAATAAATACTTAAAGACTGGATATGGTAAATTCAAAAAAATAATTAGTGCATTAGTTAGAAATAAATATTGAGGGTTTTTATATTTGTTTTAAACGTTTTGTTACTTTTTAATTATCAATTATATATTGAACGGTTTAACAGATAAAACCACCACAATCAATTTCTCTGATCATCAATTGTATTTTACGATAATTTAATTGCACCTGGAATCAATTTATAATTTTTAGAAATTTCTTTTAATTCTTCTCTTATATCGAAATTATCTCAAAAGGACATATTTGGGAAGTCGTAAATTTTGTGGTGTTATCAGTTAGCGCCACACACAACGCGATCTAAATAACTAAAAATATCTAAAATAACTATCCCACAACGGACAGAATGTCCATCGGATAAAACTTAATTTAATTATCAGGTGAACATAAAAGTAATGAGTGTAATATTGATAAGAAAGAAACATCGTCGCGCTTGTTTTCTAGAGTGGTTGTCTTCGTCTACAGATGGACGAAATTCATCGTAAGCTATATCCACATGAGAAAACTTAAAGAAATGGAACATTTTAGGTTAAATGTTACAATACTCAGCAACAGACACTTCTCAGTAAAAAAAATAATAGTGAAAAATTATTTCAAATGTATAGTAATAAATTCGTATCACTTTGTCAATGCATGTTAATATATTTATTGATTGAAATCCATATTAAAAAGTCATAACATGGAAAAAGAACAAAATTGTTTTTAGAGAGTAGTGTTTGCTAAATATTTTATATGGCGATGCAAAATTAGCTATCGAATACATATCAGAAAGTATTGAAGCTAAATTCAATAATTTTAAATAAATAATCATATATATATATATATATATATATATATATATATATATATATAGGCTCAAGTTCGATCCCCGTCACAAAGAACTTAATAACATAAAGTAAAGTTTCCATTTTCACTTGGAAATATGGACCCAAAATATGTTTCCAAGTGAAAATAGAACATCCTCAGTATTGCTACATGCTACATGCTACATTTAACTAACAAGATAATAAATGATCTAATAAAAAAAAAATCTCCAATAAAAATAGGTTGACCGTTGGGTCGCCATCTAAATACAGATTGAAAAGAAATTCGAGCTCAACAGATCATAGGGCTTAAATAGAAAAAAATTACAAATATATGTTTTGGACAAATTAGTTTATATATTTTGATACGCTGATGGATTCAATATATTTATAAACAAATAAATATCTATTATATAAACATTTCCATAATAGTTTTCTCTCAATGGAGTGAAATCTAAATTAGTACTTTCAATTTTTCCATGTTCATATAATAATAATAGCCTAGAAGATATTATTGAATCTTGATTGCTATTTCGAGAAAATAAAAAAATTAAAATTTAATTTTTTTTTGTTCAAAAAGGTTAGAATAATTTACTTATATACTATTAAAAAAATCATCATTTGTGTAACTTCCTCGTGTGGATGGCACTTCACAAGCATTCGAGATGGGTGTTTATCGAATGTTGCGCCTACCTGTTCGGTTTTTCGGTATCAAAACGAAGATCTGTATAATCACCTCCTCTCATACTACTAATTCGGTTACCGGAGTTATGTCCGAGAGATTAAGAAACCAGCTTACCGTGGCCGTGTGGCGCTCCGCAATGCATTCTGAAGAAAATTCTGTGCATTCCCATTTCGTAAACAAGTTCATTTAATTTTTTTATTTTTTTGGGTAACTTAAGACGATTATTCCGAGGTGGTTAGTTTACATATTAGACCGTGAAATAATTACGCCTATTAACGTTGCGAGTTTTATAAATAAAGCAGGGTTTTGCGGTTTGAACGCTTTTGTGGCGTCATATATTTCTGGAAATAAATTAGGATTTACATTCAAAATGAATTGCATTTTCAAATTTTCATCTTAAATAGTTTATAACCAAAAATAATTTAGTTAATTTAAATTATTGCGGGGGTTATTTGTTCGCGGGTATGGACCATCATCAATTAGTAAAGATAGTATCCTGTATTAACGTAATAGACGAAAGACGTGCAACCAGCTATAACCTTAGTTCTTACGATTTTGCTATCAGGAGATGAATGCAAATGTATTAATATTCAAGCCAAAAGTACTTTATTCATTGTTAGTTTTCTTCGTTTTGAGCTCTAGTATTTAGTTTATGACATCTGAACATATTTTTTAGATATACATTATTTGATTGTTTTGTAAGATGAATTGTTAATTTTAAATTAAATTCAAAAGTTTTTTTGTATAACCTCTATAATCTCACACATTGATAAAAGTAAAAACAATAAGAAATTAAAAATAAAAAAGTAAATTACGTTAAAGAAGAGCAATTTTACAAGATATACATTAAATTGAATGAAATCTTTGTAAAAAATCGTTCCTATAATTTAATTATTATTTATTTTGAAAAAATCCGTTTAAAATGAAAAAAAAAAGTTGGATTTGTTGGACCAGACAGACAAATTTTAGAAAAATATGTGAACAATCTTTGTGTCTCTCAACATCCTACATATTTTAAATATATTGAAAAAAACCTTTTTATTTGCTTATATTAATTACAATTAATTCTTATTGCCTGTAATCTATTCAAAGATATATTCAATGTTAATAAAAATTATCTAGATATTAAAAATATGAATAATAATATGAACTTCATAACTAATATATAAGAATCTTTAAATAATATAAATTTACAAATATATAAGAATCTTTAATATAAATTAAATTAGGTAGATACCAAATAATATATTATTAATTTTAAAAGTTTGTTTTTTAATTTTATAACTATATTTTATTAATCGTGAATGAACAAGGAATTTTGTCATGCCAGCAGCATTGCCAAGGCGACACATTCTCACATAGCGAATAATCGTCTATGAGAAATGCTTGCTTAAGAACGCATCCTATTTATCATCGTCTTTTAACATTGTAAACGGGAGGAATTCAGTAACGGGCATTTCGCGACTTGGGTGTCTATATTAGTTGTTCATTCAGACCGTTTAACGCCCGGTAATGTTTCCATTGTCATCTCCGAACACAAGAAGACATAACCGCACATAGCAATACTTCGCGAATATACACACAAAGGTTCGAGTGAATGTGTGAGGACATTGCAGCAGCCAGAGGTCCATTGTGTCTTGGGTGCTAACCAGCTCCTTGACTACAATAACGAAATACAATGAACAAACGCTCGAAGACGAGAATGCATTTTTCACAAGGACAGCCAACCAATATTTTATTAAATAATGTTGCGATGAAAATTATCAAATCGCACTAATATTAAGTGCGCTGCATTAAGTAATGCACCAAAAAGTGCAAACACTCCTAGATACCACGAAACCCTGCTAAATATAGTAGATGATGACATTGATGACATACAATAAATAATGCTACCAAGACGAAGATTCATTTTGAAAACAGACAGCGAACTAATATTTTGTCGATATTGTGAATATTGTAATTTAAATATATTGATTGATTTTGACATATAAACCGAATTATATAAAAATCCTTATCTTATCACAAAACTAACCGATTTATTAGTGTAAATTACAAATGTTTACTACATTAAAAACATTTATTGATAGTCTTAATGATATACAACATTCAACAATAATCACCTATTCAAAGCACTAGAATAAATAAAAAAATGCATTTTATGGATTTTAATCTCTTAACTTACTACCACTTTTAACTACTTCAAATGTAAGATTACGAGTGGTACATAAATTCATTAATAAAATTGACTAGGCCAAATTTCTGAAACATTTCTATTTGTACACTTCACATGATGACTTTTGCAAAAGCCAACTATTGTTAATGTAAAATATACTGTGCTTCCTGGGTAGTTTCAACAATAGAATTGGCATTGTCATAAACGCCACCCGCGTTGTGATTTTGTTAACGCTTTTACTGGCAAAGAACCCATGTCGTTTGTATTTTTAGAATTGTATGATGACTAGACTCCGGAATGATTAATTGTTAATAATTTGTAAATTAGTAATCAATCTAAGGTCTTTAATAAAAGTGGAATTTTAGAAGGGTTGAATGAGATAGTGGATAGTTGGAGAAAGTGTGAAAAGTAGTGATTCGTGATTGTAAGCAAAGTTGAAATTTTTTTTATTAAACGTTATTTATGGAAGTAATTGTGATTCATTAAAATTATATTGAATGCACAACTACAGATATATATATATATATATATATATATATATATATCAATTTGAGTGTTCGCAAGAAGGCATCAACAATTTGGGTTCTTCGAAATGGAAATTCATTCGGACATTTATTGACTTTAAGCACGTGAACTAATATGCTATTAAATAAAACCACCACACGCAAGTTACATACATTGAGTCAGCTAAATATTATTTACCGCTCCTTTATCACAAAAGCCGGCCATAAAGTCTAGGATTTATGTGTGTCAACGGCTTGTATCTTCGGTCGTGATAAATTGCTCCCGAAGAAAGAAACGCGCAGAAGAAAAAACTTCCTATGCAAAAGGACAAAAAGGTACAAGTACAATAATCATCAGGGGTCCGTGGGCCACCCGGTGTTTTACAAATGTGTCAACTACTAAACTACCCACAAGTTTTGTGTTCAAATGCCCTCATCTCGATCTATTGAACGCGTGCTAGCATTGACACCGGGTGCTATCGGAAGTGGTTCTCAATTTAGGAAATTACTTGCTGATTTGAGACACTTTTTATATTAGTATTATCGCAAAAATTATATAATTCAAATATATTGGAGTAAAAGAATAATCTGCCTTGTATATTTGTCAGCTATTTTTTAAGTATCATTGCATTCAAAATCTTTTCTCTCTTTTCTGTTATGAAGACACGAAAAATTATATAATTTAATCTAATAACCTCTCATCAAAATCCGTCTAAGACTTCGTCTGTCCGTAGTGCAATTCCATCGACGATCACGGAATTGGTGTCCGCACTCGCGTCCGCCGAGGGCTGCACCGCGTGCAACGGCGGCGATAAGAGCGGCGCCTCCGCGACAAGCCTCGCCAAGTCGCCCCTTCAATTTGCGCGCCTTTTTGCAGGCGCGATGGGGCTCTAGAGCCAGGTTCTGACCACTCACCGACCTGAAAAAAGAGAACATGCTGTGTACTAATTCCCAATAAAATCCCGCATGAGGCGGTCGTTAAAAAGATCAAAATGGGGCTTAACTTAATCTTAACATACGTAATAGAAAATTGGCTACTTTGTAAATTTAAAAATACTTATGTTTAAAAAAATAAATCCAAGTACTATTATCATTCAAAAATAAAAATATTATTAACAAATATATTTATTTGCCTTCTATCAAGGTTTATGAAAGCTTGCTTTCTTCTAAAGCTTTTGATGAAAGAATAAAGCATCTACATGATACTTCGTTTTGTTTTTGAACTCCAGTCAGGCAATTTTCAACAAATTAGTCCATAATTTCAATCGTAGTTGTTTTATTTATAAGCACAATTGACAGTCTTTTGCTTTTTTTTATAATTGTTTTTTTTTGCTTTTACTTTGTTTTATAATTGTTTTAGTTCATCTTTAAAAAAATTAATTCAACACAAAATAATATATTCAGATTCGCGTCATGAAAATATATATAATTGAATCACGTCAACGAAATTGAAGAGATGGTAATTGCTGTAAAGGTAAACATTGCATCTGCGTTGACGAATGCGACCTTGTAAGTCATCCCAAATTCTGAATAACTAATCGTCTAAACATGATTTCTCACTAGATTTTTATGGTTATATATAGAATATTATATATATATATATATATATATATATAAACCTAATATTATATATATATATATATATATACATAAATATATACATACATATATACATACATATGTATGCCATCGCCTAAATTTGTGTCAAGGTTAACAATATTTTGAGAAAATAATAAATTGCATAATAATATTTCGTAATTAACTAGTTTTATGTGCACTAATTATACACTTTTTATATTAATGATTCTAGAGAATAAATATATATATATATATATATATATATATATATATATATATATATATATACATATAATATTAATATTATAGCATTATTAATAAATTAGTCCATAAAAACAATTATTTGAACTCGAAAAACTTATTTATTAACTATTACTAAATTAAAACTACTTACTATATAAATATTTAAAATATTTCAAATGCAGTTGTTAATATATATATATATATATATATATATATATATATATATATATATATATATATATATTAGCAACAATGGACAATAACATGAGTTATTGGTTTTTCATGCACTTTTTACGTAATGTTTGTGAATTATAGCTAAAAATTAAAATTAAGTAGTTCAAGGAAATTATTTATTTTTTTTATTACCTCTACAATGTTAAAAATCAAAATCACTAAAATTACCTAATTTTGTTGATGAAATTATTATAGAAATCTAAAGCTAATTTGTCGAGAAAAGTGACTTATTCTTGTAGTTATTATAGAAAACCAGAACTGATTTGTCCAGAAAAGTTACTTTTATCCTTGAAATTCAAGAAAGGGGTTATAATGTGTCAATGACGAACTAGTGATTGGTTCTCCCTGCACGTTTTACTGAATGTTTATAAATTAAAAGCATCGCGCGCGGTAATAATGGCCGCGTACTAACGTGTTAGTTGAGATAAAGCTTAGCTCTTCTATGACATTTAGTAGCTACATGTGGTGAACTGAACTATTTATGTGTGAACCGATTTTTGACTTTGATGGCAAGATCCGACATACGCTGACAAGAGATCCTGAACACTCGTCCATCCGCGGAAACTCATTCGTCAAGAAAACAAACTCTCAATTCGTCTTTTCCGTAATTCTATCTATTCGCTAAATATAGTATCATTGTCATGGAAAAATCTTAATCGATCACTTCATTTTTTTATTTAAATATTTTTATATAATTGTTTTTATACATACAAGGTATTATTTTTAACTATTTATATTATTTTTTAATATATTATTTTAACTATAATTGAAAAAAACAGTTTGCAATTATTTATTTTTATAGTTTAATTATAATTTTATACAGCAAATTGAATTATTTTTCTCATAATCCTAATATTTGTTAACAGCACTAGAAATATAATTTTTGATGTGTATGTGTTCCAAATTGAAATTTATTGAGATGTGTTAAAAGTGAAGTAATTACTATAATGAATTTAGCTCTGTGTGTTTCTTAATTACGCATTAAAATAAAATAAAAAAGATCGAACAAGTAAAATAAATCAGGGGTATCCAACCCTTCCCACTTGGATTTAATAAGAATATGCGAAAACCTTCCCGGGCATAACTGAGATTGGATGCATAGTTTTTGAGTTCATAGGACACAGGCATACATTCATTTTTATATATAGTTAAAAACGTTGCAGCATAGGCCTATATTTCTCACGTGTAAAATGAAATATATCTTTAAAGATTTCTAAGTATTTTGATGCAACGCAATTCCCTAGAGCATCTAATTATCAATTTTTCCGGTAAAACTAATGCAGATGGTACGCTTATACAAGTCAAATTAAAATTAATTTACCGAAATAAATATGACATAATTAATCATTGCAATAATTACAGAATATATTCGTATTATAACGTAAACATTATATGAAAACCATATGCAATAGCTCATAGCAACGCCTGCAAATAAAATAAATAATCACAGTTTTCTCAGATCTAGCAAACGAATCATTAATAAAATACTAGGAATATTACCTAAAGCTTCAAACAAATACTAAACTGGATTTCTACATTATTACACGTTAAGTTGTACAAATAAACAGGTCGCGTTTAAGAAAATTTTCGGTTTGATTTTGCGACAACAAACATGCACATCGGAAAGTCTTTGAGACGTCATTTTCCACGTTCAGCAGATGAATGAATTGTTATTTTAACGATTGTTTCGACTCATTTTTTCTCTCTGGTCCATATGCTGTTCACTGAAACCATCTTTCGTGAAACATTGTATTGCAAGGCGTTTATAAATCGTGCTTCATCAAATAACATGAACGCGAGCGGTTCGGCAATAACAGACTTCGATATATCATCTTAATTTAATGTCTGGCCAGTAAGGTCTCATAAAATATAGAAATACCATTATATAAAATTATTTATTGAAAATAAAAGATGAATGAACAATCCTGAAAAACTAAGCATAATAAACAATATTAATGAAATCAGGCATACAATTAAAATGGATATTGAAATGTTTGATTTAATAAAGTCAACATAAATTATTCCAATTATATAGTTAAACTTAGATGCCTTTAATTTATTTCTAATCTGAATTTTCTAACCCTTTTTTGATTTCAGCGGATATTAATTCAAATCAATTAATATATTACATGCACTTATAAAATGCTCCTAGACGTGCTAATGGCATTCAAACTGTCATTTTTATGAATATCAATTCTGAAAAATCAAACCTAGCCAAGAAATTTTGTTACTATCAAGCATAGTAAAGTCGTTTTAGTCGTTTTTACTAATTGTAAGCCTCATCTATTAAGCACTAGGAATGAATTGAATAGAAGAAAATCTTCCCCATCAAGACATGTGATAAATTTTATCAACATATTTAATATTAAACACTCGTAAGACCTCTATCTTTTTTTTAACCAATAATAAGATTAGTGCTCATGGAATCCGCACTCAAAAGATCACAATTTCTGCAAGTGGAATTCCGTCCATGTTGCCAACATGACAACATCTGAAGACAATCTTGTTGACATTCCCATGTCCTAGCAGTGTCATTTCATCCAGGCAATACTGGAGATATCTATATCAGAGTATAATATGAATGAGGTTGGACTGGGTATGGTTATTTTTTTCATTCAGGGCTCAGTCACGCGGATCCGTGCGAAACGCCGAGAGAGGCACGTCTCATTTCGCCAGTAAGTGTGATGACGTATCAAGATGTGTACAGAGAGTCCATACGTGATTCGAAAATCAAATGTGACTTCATACATTGTAGAGCCGACTTCACCAATTGCAGTAGTACCTACTACATAAAGTATTTAATGACACTAAATATTTTCCTTGAAAATCAAATAATTATAGTGGTCAAATAATAATAAGTATAGTGCTCAAAGCTCGGAACTGGAGCAAGGTTGTAAACTTCTTAAATTAACTTCTATAAGTATATACACAATACTTTTCAATTTTTTCGATTTTCAAATAAGATCCGTTGATCATTATTTATTTTAAATTAATAAATACCTCTTCGAAAAATTTCAATTCGGTAGGTTGTTGAAAATTTTCTAGTTTATATAGATGCGATAAAACTAATATTCGATAATGTATTGGTTTATAAATGTGGCAAAGACGTAAACGTTTAAAACATAATGCATACCTACTATGTCAGAACCTATAGGTAAAAATCCACTTTAGTCCATATTAGAAAGTACATTTAGTACATAAGTTGAAGACACAACACTAATTCCAATGTAGTAAATATCGAATACCCATTAGCTCTAAACTAACATCAATCAGTCAGAGAGGCAGTAATAAAAATGTATTGACTAAAACAATTTTTAAAAAAAATCTGAAATAAATATTAATATATCTTTTCAACATGCTCTAATTATATAAATTTAGAAACAATATAATTTATTTAATGAATATGATTATTTCGACAATTGATCTGCCACTCAAAATTGTCATAATTATTTTCCAGTTGTGGGAAATTGTGAAAATAGCTTTTCAAATATGACATCTTGAAGTAGAATCTTCAAATACCTCGGCGTACGTCAGGATAAGATCCGCGGCGATCGTAACACGATATATGAGCGCACGTCTTTACGAAATACTACAAAAAACAATGATTCAAATTAACGGCTGCATTGTTTATAAAAACTAAAAAAATCATGAATGTTGATCTTTTATACTCAAACATAAGCGATCGCTTTGATAATATTCGAGTTTATTGATACATACAAAATAGCATAGTACTAAAATCGCATTACCTACATCTCAAATGATAATTATGCAAAATACTTTCTATCATTTCAGAAAAAGTAAAAATATTAAAATATTGATCAGGTTTTAAAAAATTGGCGTCTTTCTTAGACCTTAATCTCACTT